GTCTGTGGTGGTGCTTCGAAAGTAGGTCATATCTGTGCTGTTATTGGTTGACAAACTCTTACACTTTTCCTAGATGGAGTAAGACTAATTAATGGGGAATTTGATTCAGAAGGACGTCTTGAAGTATATACCGACTCAGGATGGCACAGCATCTGTACTCAAGATATCAACACGGAGGCCGCAAGGGTTGTTTGCAAGCAGCTTAACTTTGACGATGTTAAAAATATTAGCGACGTCTCCACTACCAACAGCACTTCATCAGCTCTTCACAACATTTCTTGCTCGGGAAGGGAGAGTAGATTTGAAGAGTGCATGTTTGAAATCATGTCCAATAAAATGTGCAAAAGGAATGTTTACCTATTCTGCGAACCAAGTACGTGAATATGAATAGTGGTCTTTCTTACAATTAAAAAAAGAAATTGTGTTTTTATTTGCTGTAATCATTACATCATCATAATTATGTAAAGATTGTTTAAGTTTATCAAAAACAAAAAAACCCACATACAGAACAATACAGTACAACATACAACATAACAGCCAAGTATTGTACGTAACATACTATTACGTTAAAAAAAAAAAAAAAACACACCAAAGACCAAAAATACTTAAAAAAAAAAAAAAAAAACAACTGAACAGATATAAAGTAATTCTAACCCTGCAATCTCTATCGAGTAATACAGAGTAGGCCTACAGAGTGTTTTTTGTTTTTGTTTTTGTATTTCTTTCATAATATATCATACCGTCGTAAACATTGACTGTTTGATTTACTTGGATAGGTGGAACAAGACTTATTGATGGATATTCCAGAAAGTCAGGTTTTGCCCAAACGTATATTAACAACACTTGGAAGTACATGTGTGTCAACACAGAAAATGTACTTAAACATGTTTGCTTGCAACAGCAATCAACTGGAATTGAGTTTATCCAGGAAACAACTCCAGATAATGTTATTCCTGCGTGCATAAACTGCATCATATACAACGGTTTGCTTCAATGTGACCCCACTGAAGAAAGGGAATATTTTTATCCGAAGATTTCTTACACTGAATGTTCAACAGGTAACAGAAATGTAATTTGCTAGTCAACCATTTTTGTGATTGTTACTGAAAAATCTAGAAATACTTCTTATTGTCAAAGATATTTGTGTACGGTTATCCCCAATATACCTAATGTTAAGATGGTGACCTGCCAATAACAGCCTATATTAGTCAATGGGTCATTAAATATTATTTACCTATTTTTATTCATTGCCATTAATTTATAGATACGATAAGAATTGAAGAAGGAGGTCATCAGGGATTGGTTGAAATCTTCAAAAACAGTAGTTGGAGTTATGTTTGTCAGGATTATTGGAATTCCCATGCTGCTGAGATTGCTTGTAGGGAACTACATTTTCTCGGTGCTAGCGCAACGCAGCCTGACCAAACTGGTCCCAGGGCACCTAATGCCATCGTGGTTCGATGTGAAGGAAGCGAAACCAGTCTGTTACAATGCCGATTTGAGCACGGTGTACAGTGTAGCAAACATGCTGTTGAACTTCAATGTTTGGATAGTAAGTCGTAATGTAGTAATCCCAATTAAATGGCTATTTTTGATTGATAATAATGTTGATCCAGTACTTTATGACTAACCCATATTCTAACAGTAATCCATCCTAAAACATCAACAAACGAATGATGGCACAGGGTCCCTACGAGTATTTATACGGTATCATGTTCGAAATAAAAATAAAATTGGTTAAAAACATATCGTAACGAAAGTAATTGTATAGATAATGAGATTGGAATGATGATAGGCCTAATGGTGAATTTTAAATAACGGAGATAGCGATGGAGATTTTGGTTGTTTAAAGCCGGGCTCTCACTAGCTGCGCACGACGGTCGTCGGCCGACGCGATTCTATGAAGAACGCAACGCGGCAACGCGCGCGAAACGGATCATGTTTAATGACAATCCGTTCAGACTGCTACCAAAGAGTATAAATAGAACAAGAGAGCCAACAACGCTATTTATACTCTTTGCTGCTACCGACAATCAGCAGGATGGCGTTGTGTCGTATATCGCGCACAGGGAGCAGAGTTGGATTCGTCGTGCGACGGTCGTACGACCGTCGTATGACGCAGTGAGCGCCCGGCTTTAATTATAAGCACAATAATCAAAACCTGATGTTGATTATTAATTTAGTAATTCGGTCACTGAAATATATTTCAATTAATTTGTTAACAGTTGGAATACGTTTTGAAGGATCAGTAGTGGACTACGGCGGTCGTGTTGAAATATATACAAGAAATAAATGGGGAACAGTTTGCGATGACTCTTGGGACACCGATGATGCCAATGTCGCTTGCATTATGGCAGGCTACATTGGGGCTATCACAGCCCATCGTGAAGCAGCTTTCGGTGAAGGCGTTGGTCCAATTATAGCTAATGATTTTCGGTGCAGTGGCAAAGAAAGGAGCTTATTTGACTGTCCCTATAATGAGCCCGATACAGGCTACTGTTCCCATCAGGAGGATGCTGGCGTGATTTGCTCTACAGGTGAGTTTAAAATGTATGATCTGTTTTAGTGATGATGAGTATTTTTCGTTTATCGATTTATGATATGATGATATGAAATGATGAGAATAATAAAGATAATGATAAAATGATAATAATGATGATAGTTAATAATAAGAATAATTTTAAATATGTCTGTTTTATATCATCAATTTTTTTTTTGCCATACGGTACTGTACCATTTCTGAACATTTTAATAGAAATAATTAAGCCGTCACAACATTTTTGATAATTTGTTTTTTTTTAAATGTTTTTCAGATGTCATTCGACTTTCTGATGGCAGCAAATCAGCGGGACGTGTAGAACTGTTCTTGAACGGAAAATGGGGAACAGTTTGTGATGATAACTGGGACTTAGACGATGCCTTAGTTGCCTGTCGTCAACTTGGCTTTGATGGTGCGAGTGCTTTCTACGTCAATGGCAGATTCGGAGCTGGTGAGGGACCAATACATCTGGATGAGGTTCAGTGTACTGGTGAAGAAACTGAACTTTTACAGTGTCACAGTATAAGTACCCATGACTGTCAACATTCTGAAGATGCAGGAGTATCTTGTTTTTATGGTAATTATATAAATTATTATTATTATTATTATTATTAATATTATTATTATTATTATAATCATACAGTATAGTAAATTATTATTATTATTATTATTATTTTTATTAGGGTCTGTTTATTATTATTAATATTATTATTTATATTGTTATCATTACTACTAATAATTTTACTATTATTAAGCCTATAACATTAATATTAATAATAATAAACATTTTTATGAACATTGCTATTATTGGGCCTATAATTAGGTCTATTATTATTCGTACTATTACAGTTGTTATTATATTATTATTATTGCTATTTTGTTGACTTTGTTAATATTACTATTGTTGTTTTTTAGCTTCTCATAGTGCAGTTTGTGCTTTGATAAATACTACCACTTTTAATATATCAATCAATTAATCAATTAATCAATCAACAGTATTTTATATAGCACCAATATCCACGACAGAAAGCAATGTTTAGTGGCGCTATGACAATGGCATTACTCAAAGTGCACATTAACTACCCACTGATGATGTTCATTAATTAACATATTATTATTATTATTAATTAATGATCGTAAGATTATGAAAAAATGTGTTTCAAAAATACAAAAACAAAAACAAACAATCAATTTACATGTGTGTCAAAAAACTTATAAGATGGAGAAGAGATAAGTTTTTTGCTTTTGAATGTAACTATTAAAATTGTAACTATTACAATTACTAATTCTATTGTTCATCATGTATATTATCCTATTTGTATATAAATTCACCTTATGAAGACTACTATGTGGTCGAAAACTCGTGTATTAACATTTGTTAGTCTGTAAAGTGCTATTTGTCTTCAGTTTATTGCTATATCGACAATTATATTGTAAATAGGCCTAATACGATTGTTATATTGTTAATATTATAGTTTGATTGTGCTGCTATTTTTTTTATTATGGTTATGGTTAATGTTTTCCGAATGCTGCTGTTTTTTCAATAGTAAAAATGAAAACATCAATTTCAGTTGATTGGGTATTAGGTATTGTTTTTGGTATTGGTATTAGGATTACTGTACTCATGAAGAAAAAGTAATATGTGTTTACTTTTTTTTTTGTGTAGAATCACGTGTTACTCCTGTATGGCTTGGGTCGTTTAACAGCATCCAAACCGAAGGTATCATGTCCTAAATTATTTTTACATAGACTCGCTTAAGTTATGATTTAGTTTTCAAGTGCATACAGTATATGGAAATAAAAACCATAATACATCCATCCATCCACCCACTCACACACCACAGCCACCAAACTGCCATTATGTCTCTCAAAAATATAAGCAAATACAAAAAAGAAGCGATTGTAAGCGTTGGCATAATAGAGACATAACATTTATTTTAGACGAATATTTCGGACATGCCTTTGTCCTTTCAGCGTGTACACGTATAAATGTTCATACGTGTAAACGCTGAAGGACACAGGCGTGTCTGGAATAAATGTTATGTCTCTATTATGTCGACGTACGCAATCGCTTCATTTTCGTATTTGCTTATACATGTATAATTATATATATAATAATAATAATAATAATAATAATAATAATAATAATAATATGCAGAAATTTATAACGCGCCAATTCAAAAAACATTATCAAAGGCGCAGTGAACAATTAACCCAATTAAAGCGATTTTGTAAACAAAAAAGTTTTCCAAATTAGTTTTAAATGAGTTTTAATGAGTAAAT